TTTCAAATCAAGCCATTGGGACACACAAATGAATGAAATAATTGCTGAAAGAACTGGGCAGAAAGTGATCTTCCCATTTTTTTCCCTTAACATTTCACCTACTGGGTTTCTCTTTTCACTTTGTCCCTCTATTCCACAGCCCACCCAATTTAGTGGGGTCCTTTGATGCCCAGAAGAAACTTTCTTGGGATATCTTAAAGGTTGCTTCCTCCAGTAATTTTCAAGAACCATCCACACAACTGAATCTGAATGGAGTCATAAGGAATATAATGTAGGAGAAGACCAGGCTGAGCCTAAGGGAGAGGTTAAATATATAACAAGTCACAAGTCCTTGCACATCCAAAAGAGATCTAAGTCCAGCCCACCTTGAATGTCTCTCTTATCTCCCGCTCATTTCATTTGACTACTACACTGCTCAAAAAAATAAAGGGAACACAAAAATAAGACATCCTAGATCTGAATGAATGAAATATTCTTATTAAATACTTTGTTCATTACATAGTTGAATGTGCTGACAACAAAATCACACAAAAATTATCAATTGAAATCACATTTAGCAACCCATGGAGGTCTGGATTTGGAGTTACACTCAAAATTAAAGTGGAAAAAAACACTACAGGCTGATCCATCTTTGATGTAATGTCCTTAAAACAAGTCAAAATGAGGCTCAGTAGTGTGTGTGGCCTCCACGTGCCTGTATGACCTCCCTACAACACCTAGGCATGCTCCTGATGAGGTGGCGGATGGTCTCCTGAGGGATCTCCTCTCACACCTGGACTAAAGCATCCCCCAACTCCTGGACAGTCTGTGGTGTAATGTGGTGTTGTTGGGTGGAGTGAGACATGATGTCCCAGATGTGCTCAATTGGATTCAGGTCTGGGGAATGGGCAGGCCAGTCCATAGCATCAATGCCTTCGTCTTGCAGGAACTGCTGACACACTCCAGCCACATGAGGTCTAGCATTGTCTTGCATTAGGAGGAACCCAGGGCCAACCGCACCAGCATATGGTCTCACAAGGGGTCTGAGGATCTCATCTCGGTAGCTAATGGCAGTCAGGCTACCTCTGGCAAGCACATGGAGGGCTTGCGGCCCCCTAAAGAAATGACACCTCACACCATTACTGACCCACTGCCAAACCAGTCATGCTGGAGGATGTGGCAGGCAGCAGAACATTCTCCACGGCATCTCCAGACCCTGTCACGTCTGTCACATGTGCTCAGTGTGAACCTGCTTTCATCTGTGAAGAGCACAGGGCACCAGTGGCAAATTTGCCAATCTTGGTGTTCTCTGGCAAATGCCAAATGTCCTGCAGGGTGTTGGGCTGTAAGCACAACCCCCACCTGTGGACGTACCACCCTCATGGAGTCTGTTTCTGACCATTTGAGCAGCCACATGCACATTTGTGGCCCGCTGGAGGTCATTTTGCATGGCTCTGGCAGTGCTCCTCCTGTCCCTCCTTGCACAAAGGCGGAGGTAGCGGTCCTGATGCTGGGTTGTTGCCCTCCTATGGCCTCCTCCACGTCTCCTGATGTACTGGCCTGTCTCCTGGTAGCGCCTCCATGCTCTGGACACTACGCTGACAGACACAGCAAACCTTCTTGCCACAGCTCGCATTGATGTGCCATCCTGGATGAGCTGCACTACCTGAGACACTTTTGTGGGTTGTAGACTCCGTCTCATGCTACCACTAGAGTGACAGCACCGCCAGCATTCAAAAGTGACCAAACCATCAGCCAGAAAGCAGAGGAACTGAGAAGTGGTCTGTGGTCACCACCTGCAGAACCACTCCTTTATTGAGGATGTCTTGCCAACTGCCTATGCTCTCCACCTGTTATCTATTCCATTTGCACAACAGCATGTGAAATTGATTGTCAATCAGTGTTGCTACCTAAGTGGACAGTTTGATTTCACAGAAGTGTGATTGACTTGGAGTTACATTGTGTTGTTTAAGTGTTCCCTTTATTTTTTTGAGCAGTGTAGTTGGTCAGATTCTTGTAGAGAGCTTAAGCTTGCAATAAATCTTTATACTCATTTGAACTGCCTGAATCTTCTGATTTTCCCAGTGCTTGACATATAAAGTGGATTGAAGAGAACAGAAGAGAAGAGAATTCTTTATTGGTCAAGTGTGATTGGACACACAAGGAGTTTGTCTCCAGTAAATATAATAATTTTAATTTATAATTTATAAACTAAGATTTATAATTTTATGAATGTATTATTTATAATTTTTAATAAAATATAATAATGTTATAAACATAAATATAAAATACAATATATAAAAACATATATAAACAGGTTAAGGATCTGTTTACAGATAAGAGGAGATATGAAATGAAAAGATTATTTGTTGTATTTTAAGAGAAGTTGAAGAAGAGAATTGTTAAGATTGTTTATACTTGTGATGAAGGGAAGTTTCATTTCTTTACATATTTCTTTTCTTATTCTTTGTGATATTCTTATTTTTCTTTCATTTTTCTTTCTCTTTCTATATTATGTTCTTTTTTCTGTGCTATTTCTTATCTTTATTCATTGTAGTTTGTGTTCGTTTTTATCTCTTTAACTAATAAAATAATTATATTAAACGAATACTGAATGGAGTCATAGCTCCCCTGCATTAAATGTGGAAACATGCAATCAAAAGAGCCATCATTTTTGTGAAAATGCTCCCGGTCTCTCTTCTGTTGTCTAGTAATCCATAAGTCGTTGTATCAAGAGATTTCTAGTTTTATTTAATTAATTCCAAAGACTCTTGCCTATTGATCACTGGGTGTGCATTTGGCAGTCTTGGGAAGAGTATTTTGTGGTAGCCAAGCCATGGCAGCAAATTATCACAGGCCAGGGTCTTGCTATTCCAACTGGTCTATAATTTCACCTCTTGCTTTGAAAATACAAGATTTCATCTGCCACACAGTCAAGTAGACTTTGGGATTCAAACAACATGGTTGTTATGGAGAAGATACTTTGATTCATAATTGTCCTGGGACAATTTTGGGGTAAAACTGCCTCCCTCTCCTCTGCTAGTACTGATAGAATTAGTAAGTTCAATACAACACTGTATCTTGAATGTATTGTGTAAATCAGCCCGCAGTCTAAATACCTTTTACAGAATGACTTTTGAGAATCTCAGTATAGGGCGCATGGAGCCATCACCTGGACAAACAGTGTGATTGCATTTATGTATTATTTTCCAGGTAGGTAGTCATGTTAACCTTCCACAGCAAATTTAGTGGAATAGGGCTACCAGAACTGAATAGTATATATCTAGACGACTACCGGGTAGCAAAGAGTTAACCTTTTATGTGCCTCTTGATTCTGTGATAGTCATCTGGAGCTCACAGCCCAAGCCTGGTAGCCCAAGAACCTCTTTTCAAATGCACATAGAGGTGGCACAGTCTTGCACCAGCAATCTTTGTGTTTCGTGCTATTGCCGTTAACATTACTTTCATCTGTTTCTCAAGCCACACAAGGAGCAGCCTTAACGTAAGTGTTTTAGGACGTAATACAGGGATTTAAAAAAAAACAACAACCCTTGGTCTGAATCACATTCTATTTTCTTCAGCTATTTAGAAACTTATGCTCTCTTCTGCATTTGGGTTGCTTTGTTTTCCTACTGGTTTTTCTTGTATTGGTTTTGACTCATCCACAAAACTTGATCTGACACACCTTTAGAAATAGGTCACAGGGAAACATGAACTAGATCACCACCATAATTCTGCATTTGTTTTGTAAGCCTTGTTGCAGAGCACCTTTGAAAGTGATTGATTTTTAATGTGGCAGAAGAAGTAATGAGACGACTTAAGTAATTGAACATAAACTAAATCGTGTTTAATTTTTGGCTAGTTTCACCAACTTTTTGGAGGGTGGATTGTGGTATGTCCCTCGAAGTCCAAGTCTGCATTTTCACCACTGAATTTCATTTTGTTAGATAAGGCCCAGTATTCAAGTTTGTCAAAGAGCCTGCTGTATCTTGACCCTATTTTTTGGAGTGTTGGTTATTCCAAGCCAATGCTTTCTAGGAATTTTGGTAGTTGGAATAAAAACACACAAGGGGTTTCTCCCATTTCTAAGACATGTTCTTTATTCTTTCCCTTTGTGTTCATGCTTTGAAGAGTCAACTGAGATGCCCCATCCCTATGTGTTTTGACAGAGATAGAGGGGACCAGTACTTGGGCTATAGTAAGATCTTCTTCGAGTAAGGATGCTGCAATGGTAACACATGAATATATTATTGCAGACAACCATCTGGGCATGCCCATGGAGTCAATAGGATTAAGATGCTATTTGAAGGGGAGTTTAGCTTTGTAGAAAAGACAGTTGCAATGAAAGCCCTTAGAACCAACTTATACTTGGACTATATCATTTCATGTTGAAGATTCATACTCATAGGATTGAGTAATACTGCTACTGGGAAGCTAAATTAGTAATTTTATTATAGTAAGTGATATAGGCCAAATATGGCTTTATACACTGTGTTAATGCAGAGCATCTTTAACTATAATTTCTTGCAGAAAATACTGGGGCTTCGCTCACATGGTATGCTGTGAACCATGATTTGCAGAATAAAATGATTCTAATTACCCTAAGCAACAACCACACAAACTAGGTTATGGTTCAGTGCAACAGTACCTGATTAATCAATACTTTGAACATAATAATTCAATAAACGTTAAAAAATTAAAATAGCTAAAAGCTGTCATGACCATCACAGCTGGGCATATTTCAGTGTCAAGAAATCTTGCACAAAGTATTATTTTGTGAGGTTAAGATCTTAAGGATGAGATTTAGATGATTTTGGTGACTTTTAATAAAAAATATATGAGGCAGGAATATACATTACTTTAAAAGACTCCTGGTCTCTGGGTTAATGCAATGAATCTGGCAACGGAGTATATTTAGAAAAAGAAACTTTCAGGCAAGCTTACAAACTTGAGGGACACAATCTGAACATTTAATTTGCACATTATAACTCAATAAAGTAATAAAAAGCAATGTAAATTTGTTAAATGAAAGCAAGTTTATTGTGCCAGATGTATGTGACCTAAGCAAATACACACATAAATATAAACACAAACGTGGAGATGTTATGCTATAGAACCATCAGAAGGCTCATTCATACTCTTACTGTAGATTTCATCGTAACAAAATGATGACAAATACTTACTATTGTTGACTTGGGTTGGCAGGGAAAACAATTCTATTAAAAAATGGAAAATTTGATAACTACAATAGCATGCAGAAGTAAAAAGACTCAACTATAGGAGCCCACTCTCCTTAATTTATCACTTTGTGACACCTTGGAACCCACTGCTTTTATGTACAATGAAAATAGGACATGCTCTATTATATAATTTAATATGATTGGAGGAAGGTAATATCCAGTGTTCAGAAATTGCTCTCATCTCCAAAAATTGCAACAGCCTCTTTCATTCTGATATCCTCTAGATGTACTATGCCATTGGTTCTCAACTTTTTCTTCACCATGGACCCCTTTAAATACCTTTTATGGCCACAGACCATGGCCACGGATTACCAAGAGTTAACTCAAGATTTAAATCATAACATTTCTTCAATCCTTTGTGGAACCCCTGTGATGACATCGCAGCCCTGCAGAGGTCCGTGGACTAGAGGTTGAGAACCACTGTGTTATACTATTAGAGTTTATTATTATCAGCGTATAGCATTGTTACAGTAGCCAGGAAACCACAATGCTATTGCAGAGTAGTAGTTTTGCTTGCCAAGGTACCAGCCCTATTATAGAACATGCTTGTGCTTCCCAAGATGCGCCACAAGAGGGCAAGCTGGCTTCATACCAGAGAGAAAGATGAGGGGCTCTTCCTGCAGCATCACCCAAGGCCCCTCTCTCTTCCCATTGCTGCCTTGCAAATGGGTGCCACAAGCGGGAAGGTTCAGAACCATCAGGAATCTGACTCCTGCACAGAGCACAAGCCTGTCTTCCTACTGAAGTGGTACCTAACTATCTACTTGTATAGAATATGCTTTCGAACTCTTAGGTGCACAAAAGCTGAGGTGAGTGACAGGAGCTCACCCTGCTGTATAGTGCTTGGGCTCAAACTCCCAGAGCTGAGACAATCTCCAGTGTCATTAAGCCACTGGGTCATCATGCTTCCTATTATTAAAGGTGCTGTAGTGCAATAGGTCTGGAGCACTTTTTCCCCATCTTAGTAATTTTAAAAAGTGTGGATGAACCCTCAGAATTCCCAGCAACATAGCTTAAAGATGCCAAGGCTGGAAGAAACTGCTGTGAAAGCACCTGGCTCGGTTACATTCTTGAGTTCTGTTCAAATTCTGTGATAAACTAAAACATGGGCAAAGTTAAGTTCTTGTTTCAAATACCCATGCTTGCTTTTTTTTAAAAAAACTGGCATTTTCTGGACTTCTGGAGTTCATAATTCCCAATTATTCTAGCTTGCATAGGCAAAAGCTTTCATGTGGAGACCTTGAAAAGGCAGATGCTTCCTGGGTATTTGGGAAGACAGTCCCAACAGATCTGGAGAGGAAATCAAAGTTAGCTTTGCAAAGCCCACTATAACACAGCATTAGTTTATTTCAGCAGGATATCTCTCAGTCAATATCTTCTTTCCAAATTATAATTGCTAAATTCAGCTTATAAAATAATTTCTTCACCTTCAGTCTCATGTAAGTGAATATACAAAAGGGAACAGCTATTTACAAATCCGCAATTCTCTCAATAGTATTTATAAACTACGAAAAATTACTTCAGTTTTTATGATAAAAGGGAATCACATTCCCAATATTAACGCTAAAATATTTTCATTAATGTTATACATAGGCAACAAGAAAAAGATATCCCTAGCCCCAAACACATTTACTACCACAACCACAAAAAAGGGTTAATTGATTGCATTAATAATAACATTACTTTGGGAGGAAGTTTTCTTGAAAAGAAGTGTCGCAGTGCATGTAGTGAGAAAAAGGATGGGGTAAACATGTAGACTAATTCATGTGTTCATATAGAGAGTAACTGCATACCTTTGCCACTAGGTGGCAGTCAACTACCTGGGTGGTATTAGGATTATTACTAATTTTCTTTAAGACAAATCTCTTTTGTCTAATCCTTAGAGTAACAAGTCTTGTGTAAAAACAGGAATGTGATATGTACCTGATAGTATCACAAAAATTGTTTGCTTCAACCTGATGTAACATATAGCACAATCAAATTGAAGGATGTTGTTAACTCAAACACAGATCTTTGCAAAATCAGGCCTTGTTGGATTGTATTTCCTATACTGACACATTATCTAAACATGAGATTGGTGCCATAAAACTTTTAACATTTTCTGTGTTAAATTCAAAAGATGACTGTGTTAGCTTCAACTTGTTCCAGCTCTGTGTTTTAGATCATATCTCCTTCTTCACCTTATGCTGAACAATTTTGTCCATTAGGTGTTGATTCTATGGCTCCAAAGTAGCAGAAAATTATTTTGGGATAAGAATTTTGTATAAGGCACAGGCTGAGGGTGCTTCCAAGTCTGGATATATCGTAAAATTTAATATTAATTACTCCCTATCAAGTAACTCCAGACAAAAATTAACTGCACCCTATTACTATGGCTTCTTTCAATAGCTGAGGCCACTGAATAGCACGCTTTTTAGTTTTTCTGTCTTGCTGCACCACCTGCAGAGGAAAGGAGAATTCCATTTTTAGTGCCACTTTGAGATCACATCATTCAATCAGCCATTTTGCAAAATCTATAGATTCCATTCAAACTGCAATTTGCTAAGCTGTGTCTCCATTGTGTGTCTCTAGACCAGGGGGTCTCCAACCTTGGCAATTTTAAGACTTGTGGACTTCAATTCTTTGCTGTCTGAGGAATTCTGGGAGTTGAAGTCCACAAGTCTCAAAGCTGCCAAGGTTGGAGACCCCTGGTCTAGACCATTCTCTGGGCTCATCAGCTAAGAATTATAATGGTCCAAAAATATCCAAACTGAAAATAATAATGAAAAGTGAAGAGATTTAATTTTGAGTTTTGATTCCAAATGAATGTGCTATTGGCAGAGGTAGGAATGAAGAGTTTAAGGGTTTTATATCTAACCATTCTGAGTATCTCCTATGCCTTGGAACAAACTCCTGCATATTCAGCAACATATCAGTCTTGCTATTTAGCACTTTATAAACACTTCCAGACAATTTTTCTTTAGGTTTCTTGATCCTTGATCACCTAGATAACATTTGATCAATTAAAGGAGTTGATTGAGGTTGGTTGATCAAGTAAAGGCCTGACTGTGGTTCACCTATTGATGCTCCGACACCAGAGTCACGACATTGAGGATGGGAATGGGCATACTAGAAGTAGCATACTAGAAGTTGCATACCTTTGAGTTGACTAACTGTGTGCATGCAGAAAACTGACCCTAGAAAATACAGTTGCCAGATTATCCAGGATCTCCACATATTTTGGGTGCTTCCAGTTGGAGATCCTCTGTAACAGGGGTGTCAAACTCGATTTCATTGAGGGTTGTGTTTGACTTTGGGGGGCTGGGGTGGCTTGATGTCACTCATGTCAGGGGCCCCTGTGGTGGCCTGAGCACTCTGCCACCGAAAAAGAGCTCTTGAGCTCCGTTTTCGTCTGCGACAGGTTCCTGCAACCTTGTCAGCAAAAACTGAGCTCGGCAGAGGCACTGCGGGCTATCCTTTGCTGTTTCCAGGTCGGAGACAGTTACAGAGGTAAAGATGTCCCCTGCAACACCGAATACTGTATAGTTCTAAATACTTCTACTAGAAGGTATTTTTGTGGAGAGAGAAGTATTGGAAAGGAAAACATCTGAATAGATGGGGGCCCTGGTCCCTGGATGAAAATAATGTACAGTTGTTGGAATCATCACTGAAAAATGTTCCACATAATTTTCATTTCTAATAATACACTGTAAGAACAAAAATAGATGAATTGGTAAAACAAGCACGTTGATTACATAGTAAAGCATTTGAAAGTCACATGTCATTTGATTGGTTTATGTTATGGCTGCTTGCAATCAGAAGACAAAGGAGAAAGTAATGCAGTTCCAGGAATGGCCAACTTCTTGTCTGAAAACAAATGGAAACTGATTCTGAGGAATAAATTAAGAATTTTTAGAGTACTAAGAACATGATCCAGATCCAGTTGCTAGGATGTAACTGGCAAGGCTGACCCTTGCCTTCCATCCACGGGGAGAGAGTTCTGCAAAATCCTATAGCCGTTTCCTAAGGACCACTAGATTTTACAGTCGTGCAGAATCATCAATAAATATTCTACAACATCAAAGCCATCTTCAAAGAGGGTTCAACAAAGACACTGGGACTGAAGGATTGTGTTAGGAATGGAATCTTTTTTTCCAAAGCCCTTGACCAGCCCTATTCTGATTCTGTAGCAAAGATGACCATACCTGAGATTGCATTTTTATAGAATTTCAGAGAATGGAAAATGAGGATCAGACAAAAAGAAGAACGTTTGCTATTACCCCAACATGTCTAACAACATTAAACAACTTGACAAGAGACAATGCTTTCCTCCAAGTAAATGATGGTTGGCTGATACAAAAGACCCAAAGCTTGGAGTCTTGCTGTGGGATTCCAGTACAGAAATTGAGCTCAGATAGCAAATCACCCAAAATAAAAAGCATTGTATTAAAAAAGAAATAACACAGTGCGTATAATTAGCTACAAGAAGCATAGCTTTATGTTGTGATGATCAACAACTTCATTAGGCAAGATCCCAATGCAATGGTTAGTCACAGACAGCAGCATCCCTGACGGTTTACATACCTCACTGTATTTCACAAACTCTTTTTGTTTTTTTATCTCCAGTATCAACCATCGCTTTTAAATCAGTGTCAACCATTGCTTTCAAATAAAAGAGAAGACAACTAAATGTAGCCACAAGATATTAGGAAATACCACTATAATAACACAGTCATGGGATAACAGTGGGCAAAGACACAGGGGTCTCTCTAGATCAGGGGTCCCCAACCCTGGTCCGTGGACTGGCACTGGTCTGCGGCATGCCAGAAACCAGGCCGCGGAAACAAGTGAAGCCCCATCCACGAGATGCAGGCAGCACATGAAACCACACACTCCTCCGGTCCACGGAGAAACCTCTCTCCCCGGAATTGGTCCTTGGTGCCCAAAAGATTGGGGGGGGGGTCGCTGCTCTAGATTAATGGCATTTGAGTCAATTAAGTATTTGAATCAACCACATGTTCAATTCATTCTTTATCAAATGTATGTATGTGCACCAGGTGCTATAAGGCATTCCACTTGGGGTCAAAGTAGTAGGGAACATTTTTATAAAAATGATCCATGTCATCTACACTTTTGTAAATACTTGCATTGACATAATGCACTCCATCCCAAATATTCAGTTGATCATTTAATACAGGGGTCCCCAAACTTGGCAACTTTAAGACTTGTGGATTTCAACTCCTAAGTTCCTTAGAATTCCTCAGCCAGCTATGCTGGTTGAGGAATTCTGGGAGTTGAAGTCCACAAGTCTTAAAGTTGCCAAGTTTGGAGACCTCTGATTTAATAAAATAAACAGTCTATCTGTGAAACTGACCTTTCCAAATCTAGATCCTTCCAGATAATTTGGATTATGTCCGCCATCAGTCCTACGTATTGGGCATGCTAGCTCAAGTTGGAGGTGAAAATATCTGGAAGGATACAGGTTAAGGAGGTCATCTTGATTTGGCCCTAATGTTCAAAGGCTGCAATGAAAATGCCTTACTTGAATGGCCCTTGCTATGCCTCTTTTTCTTCTTGCGCTTTGATGAACTTCTTTGGCCATCTTTTCCAGCTTGGGCTTGTTCTGAAGGTACTGTTGCTGAATATGAAGAATCAGTTACTGGTTCTTCTGAGAAGGACCTATCCTGAGATGTGTCCAACAAGGAGTCTGAGGAACGGTCTTCATTGACTTTAGATGTTTCTGGCAGTGCCAAAGTTTCAAGGGCCATTTCTTGAGAGATTGTGAGCTGTTTGGTGTTTCCAGGTATTTTTTCTCTTGTGTCATCATTTCTACAGATACTGTTTGAGCCATCAGGTTCAGATCTACTAGCTGGGTCCCCTAAGTTAACCTCATCAGCTTTAATATTCAGGCTAGTTGAATGTCCTGAGTTATCACTTGTAAACTCTACAAAAGAAATGGAGTGAGACAACACTAAATCATGGTTGTTGGCATCATGAAAGGAACAGGAGTCATTTTCCTCTTGTAAATTTGTTCCATTTGGGGCTTCTCTATTTTCCTCCAAAACGAAAGAATGTAATGAGGCCTTTTCGGGATCTGCCTGGGCTGGAGAAGAGATGCCATTCCCAATGGCATCAGGTGGTGTCTGTAAATTCAATGAGTCAGTAGCCAACTCAGATTTCTCATTTATGGTAGCCCCTTCTGAAGCCTTTGCATTTTCTACTTGGTCCTGGAAATTATTTTGCATCCTTGAATCATCTTCTTGCGTTGGGTCTTTCACATCCTGAATGCTTTGGTCTGAAAATGAATGACACCAATAAGAATGAAATCCAATACAAATAGTTCAAATAGCTTAGGCTGAGAAAAAGTTTCCACTGAATCATCCCAACTTCCCCATCAAAAACAAAACAAAAAAGTAGGGAGAAAAATACTGATAATGGGGGAATTATTATAATCTCAATGTGAAAGATTATTTTTATTCTTCTCTTCTGAGCTGTGAGTTTTCCTGTTGTCCCTTTTCTTAGCAGTAGGAAAAAATAATGTTGAAATAATGGGAACTCCTCCACCCCCATTGCAGTGTGCAGCAGTGGATAGAATTTATAGGAATTGTAGTTGGAGAGGGGAAGGTAACATTTCTCTTCTTTTTTCCCCTCTTTAGTCTTGTCATTCTAATTTCTCTGTCTCTGCAGTGCATGATGTTAAAAAAGAGTCTCTCACCCATAAAAAACACAGGGCTACATTCAGTTTCACCTATAAACCCTACATATGTAATCAATTGAGTTTACTTATAGCCCTAAAACAGCTGGTGTTTGGGACCTGTATTATAAAAAAAAATACTGTAATGGTTAAAGCACCAGTCTAGAAACTAAGAGATAGTGAGTTCTAGTCTTCCCTTAAGCATGAAAGCTGACTGGGTGACTTTGGGCCAAGTGCCAGGAGACTTGTGAGTTCTAATTCTGTCTCAGGCATAAAAGCTAGCTGGGTGACTTTGGGCCTGTTACTCTTTCTCAGCCCAACTCATCACAAAGGATTATTGCTGTGGAGGAAAATAGAAAGAAGCAAAGGGAGCATTAAGTACTGCCTTCAGTTAGTTGTAAAAATAATTAAGATGGAATATAAAATAAATACTTGTATAAATAAATACATAAATTAAGATCATAGAATGTTATTTCATACACAAACACACAAGCATATTAGCACATATAAAATAATAATTTCAGGAGAAGTATTCAGTTATGTTTTTTTTTAAAAAAAAAAAATACAACTTTTTCAACACATTGTGCTGAACCACTTCCATCTTGTTACCAAGAAAAAGGTATAAATGTGTCCCTCAACTTGCCAGGAATCAAGCTTTATTTACAGGTATTTCTGCTCCTAATGATATGGACCACACTAGATGTGACCACATGAGGGCGTTTGCCAACCAAATGTGGCTTTCATTTCTATTTGGAAAATGATCAGGTGCAATGAATATCTCCAAACAATGTTCTAACATTAAAAAAAAAATGAAAGAACTATGCTATCTAGAGTTATACTGTTTCCAGTTCATACTATTCTCTTTTCCCATAAACATTTGCAATTAGCAATTAGAAGGAAAAAAATAATTTCTGGACACTGAGGTGATATTGCTTCGTGCTGTTTCTCTTTGAGAATATTTTTGAAAAGAGCTGTGAGATAAATAACAAAAAGAAGGCAGTTAATTCTATTTGTCCTTATTCTAGATTTATTTGCTATTTAACATAGTCAATTTATATAGTCAACCATTTCATTGAAATGATTCTGGACAGTGCAGATGCAATCAAATAAATACAAAAATAAAAAATGTAAAATATAAAAAATCCATATTAATAAATATTATAAATATAAAGAACCCCACGGAATAGGTAAATGGCCTCCTCAACAATGGAGCCATCTGAGCTACAATTGCCAGGGAGCCCCAGACGTGATGACATAGGTATGTGTTCAGAATATGGAAAGGAGTGGAGCTAGTTTAATTTCAGGGAGAAGAATGTTCCATAAAGCAGGTGTGACAGCAGTGAATGCACGTCTACTGGGACCCACTAAATGATGGTTCCTAGGCAATGGTACTTGCAACAGGTCTTCTCTGCCAGATCTAATGGGGACAATGTAACTGGGGAGAGGCAGTTCCTCAGATAGCCCATGCTATAATGAGTCTTAACCAGCCCTTTGAACTGGACCTGGAAGAAAACTGGCCATCAATGGAAACAGATGGAAACAAGATGGACTTTCATAAGTTAAACAAGGGGAAAAAACTCATGAGATTTTCTGATTTTCTGTTCTTACCAATCACTTTTCCTCTCTGAGGTGTTGTTTTCATGGGAGTGTCTGTGCCATTTTTGTTCCTGGTTGTTTTTCGTAGCTGGAATCCCTTCCTTATGTCAGCCAGCAAAGCATCAATAACACACACCTCCTCTTGTTTGACAGCTCCTTTCTTAACTAGAGTTGGAATTTGGAGAAAAAAGTGAATTGGTCAATCAGATTGAGAATGTGACTGGATTGGAGCCCCACAGTTCACTCATTTTATTTTGGGTTCCATTGAGTTGTAGTTGCATATGCAAATCAACTTAACAAGCAAATTGTGTTTTGGAACCTGGGAAAAAAACAATCCAAATGTTCTTCCTTTGATGAGCATTTATCCTTGCAATTTCTAGCACTGAAACAGAGGTGGTATTCAGCATGTTCTGACCAGTTCTGGAGAACCGGTAGTGGAAATTTTGAGTAGTTTGGAGAACCAGCAAATACCACCTCTGACTGAAGATTTTACAGTACTCTTCCCCTGCCACACCTACCAAGCCACACCCACAGAACCAGTAGTAAAAAAATTTGAATCCCACCACTGCACTGAACCACCAACTAATCACATTTATGCAAATAATCTCATCCATCCAGGGTTCACTTTCTTTTTGACTAGTGCTTTATTTTCTGGCTGTGTGAAAGAATTACAAAAACATCCCAGATGTTAGCACTATCTCTGTTCATAAAGTGAAAGTCCTGATAACTGGGGGGGGAGGGAGCAGAATTATGCATTTAGATAGCTTTTAGTAGCTCTCACTGAAACTCGCCTACAACAGAACAAGCAAGTATAGTTCAGATTATTTTGAGAGTAATTACCTGGAAAGCTTAACTTTATTTCCTTACTAATTGTATTATGCTGCAGTGTAGCAAATTATCACATAAAGAGGGACTTCCGGTGGTGAGGTCAAAGCGGAGCAGGAGAGCGAACTCTGCAATCCTGTATCCGAATTTTCGTGCTTGGAAGCTCTCAGAGGCATTGTGATGCTTGGAGAGTTAGAAGGGAAAACCTACGAGCAGAGTGGAGGAAAGCAACCTCCCACTGCAATGAGGGGAAGCCCTTTGAATCCGGCGCGAAAGAAGCCCGGCATCTATGGCGGGTCCGAAGCTGTGACAGCCAGCTGCGATCGGGAAGCAGGAAAGTGGATCAACGCAAGACATCAGAAGGAGAACAGCAGACTGGGACAGTTTTTGAGAGGTGAGAGAGCCCTGTGAAAGACTTTGACAAAGGGAGCCTCCGGAGAGAGTGAATACAGTGGCTAATTGGCGGGGGATAGCGGAGCGAAAGAGAGAGGAGGAAACAATAGTTTAACAGCTGAGAGAGAGTACTGCAGAAGAAAAGACCGAGACTCTGTGAATAAAAACTCAAAATTTCTATGATTTGGATTCTATGATTTGGATTGATTGGTAGAGCAGAAAAAAAAGACATTAGAGAGAACAACTGGAACTTTAATGGAAAACTGTAGTTGAACGGAGAGTGGAACCATTTTGATAGGAAGCTGTGACTGTGCAATTTGAGAGTGAAAGTGACTAAGTAGTTAAAGAGGACTGAGGAAACAGGAAATGAGGAAAGTAATGTGTGTAGAAGCCATAGAGATTGAAAAAAGACCTGAAAGCATGAATAGAAGAGATGATTCCACCAGACTGTCAATCATTTGGAAGCCTGCACTCACAAACAAAAAAATCTCCACACCACTAGCTAGGCAAACACCTGGGCAACAGATCCCCCTGATACCTCCAGCTCAAACACACCCCAACCAGGCACCCAGATGAAACCTAGCTTCCTAACAAATGATAGCCATCTATTTACTCGAAGCCAAGCCGCACTAAAAGCCTCCAATACAGGAAATACAATGTTGCCAGCCAATCAAGACACAAAAAAAGCCACAAAACAGACAGAAGATATTAGAAACACCAATCAAGCAGAACACAGCAAACTCCAAGACCAAGAAACACAGATCAAGACTCCTAACCAATCAGGATGAAGAAAAAACCATTCTGGCACAGCAGTAGGCTAGCCCCAAATTTAAAACTGAAACAACTGTAAAAGTCTGACTCACAGACGAACACAATACAGAAGCCTGATGATGGCAGATGAGATTCTGCCGAAACGTTGCTACAACTTTAAAAGCACAACTATAATGACGTGGGAAAATACCCGAACAAAGCTGAATACCATACATGTAAGTACCCGTGAAAACTTAAGAACACACACACACACACACACACACACACACACACACACATCTAATTTCTTGCAAGAAGAATTAATTTATGTATCCTATTTCATAGCTTGCTACATTCTTTATAACTGTTATACCCTATATATTCTTTATATATATATTCTTTATAT